CCCATAAAGAGAGCAGTGTGAATAGATACAATATGCTTTAGCTGGATTCATGATGAGATAGAACTTTGACTGAAACTGATGATGAGTTTATATGATTAAGCAGGATTACTCTGAGATCCAGCCTGACTGACTGACTTTGTAATTGGCTAGCTGAACAAGAGCCATTGGGAGCCCGGCTCTTTGGCTCACATGCCAGTTTGCTGGTAGAGATTGAGGGTGGAGTGGTCCATCTGACTTGGTGGGCAGCTTTGTTTCCAGCTACATTTTCCAAACAGACATTTGAACTGTGTTCTTGGGGCTTTTCTCTTGCAGGCATGATGGGCCCACCTCCTGGTATGAGGCCTCCTATGGGTCCCCCAATGGGGATTCCCCCTGGACGAGGGACCCCGATGGGCATGCCCCCTCCAGGAATGCGGCCCCCTCCCCCAGGGATGCGCGGTAAGTGCCTGCTGAGGTGATTTTGGCTTCTTTCCCTAGAGAATAGGGCAGTGGGAAGTGAAGGGAAAATTGTATTTAGACCATGTCCTTTGGGCTTTCTGGCTTTAAGTTTAAGGAAATGAACTGTTGGGGAGCAGCATTGTCCAGAAAGGACAGAGAAGAAAGAGCTGGCCTTGCCTCCCCTTTCAGAACAGTTAGAGTACCCAGAGTACTTCTCAGAGTCTAAGGTAGTGTCTTCAGGGTACTGATAAATAATGCATTCTGAGGATCCCTGATAAAGGCAATAAAGTTGTTATATGCCCTCTGATTTGATAGTATCTGGTAATGAAGAACTCTGGGCTTTGTGATACTATTTATTAAGTATTTCTGTTTAACTTCAGTTTGAGAAATACTGAGATAGTTGCTACATGAACAGGGAAGTAGGCTCAGAGAAAGCTTAATTAGCATCCTGCTTCCCAGACCTGTGCTCTTTCCACCAAGCCATATGGCTATTAAGATAACCCATAGCCATAATCCCTATTTCTAGTTTGGGTTTTCCAGACATAGGAACCCAGTCAACCCCAGAGAAGTCCCCAGTTAACACCATGTATGTCCCTCTCATTGCTTGGTAACTGCAGGATGTGGGTGGCTGGGCAGGGTCGGGGATCTGAGTTGCAGATCAGGCACTGACTAAACTTCTTACTCTTACTTCAGGCCTTCTTTGACCCTTGGCCACAGAGTTATGGAAGTAGCTCCACAGAGGCGTGGGCCCGATTCCCCAGGGCCACGTTACCACAGACCTGTTTGTTTGTTATGCTGTTGCTCGCGGAGTCTCACCGGATTGTCTGGTTTCCCTTACAGGGCCCCCTCCCCCGGGAATGCGCCCACCAAGGCCCTAGACTCATCTTGGTCCTCCTCAGCTCCTTGCCTGTTTCCTGTAAGGCTGTACATAGTCCTTTTATTTTCCTTGTGGCCTATGAGACTGGTTTATAATAAACTCTCAAGAGAATATTGCAAATGCACCTGATGTATCCATTTGTAAGCATCCTTTGATATATTGGGTGCTTAATAATTAGAGTCAAAAGGGTTGCCTTGGAAAAATTAGCCCTAATCTTACTTGCTTCCCTGTAAAATACTTTACTACACCATTGCATCTGATACATAATAGTCCCATAATAAGAGATTTGCAAAATTGGACCATATGAAACATTTTCTCTCATCAAAACTCAAAAAACTTCAGCTTGTTGAAATAAACATTCATATGCTATTGGTAAGGAGTGAATTGGTATATGTTCACTTGGGGAGACCCTCATTAGATAGTTTGTTGGTACTTTATGAAGCAACTAAAACCGAAAACCATATTTGGAGAGGAGCAACGGTCATGACTTTATCTCCCACACATATGTGTAATTAAATACAGCTTTTGAATTGTAGGATCTCCATGACTTCTTCCATCCATAGTTAGTAAAGCAAGCTTCAAGGGTACAGAAGTAAGAGGTGGACACTTAGTTCTAAGTTCAGAAGATAGTTCTAAACACAAAGGAGATGTTAAAAAAAAGAAAAAAAGCTAGTGGTGTGCCACTGGGGTGTTAATGAGCTTCTCTAGGAATGTAAAATTGGTCAGTATAAAATCAATGAGTTGAATATACCACATCAGTAGAAAGCCACAAGATCATCTCAATGCAAAAATAGCCTTTGACAAGATTCCAACACCCTTTCATAATAAAAAGTTAAAATAATCAGCAAATTAGGAATAGGGCATTTTCTAAACACAACAAAAGGGTTTATGAAAACCACAGCTATCATCAAAACAGTGAAAGATGAGCTTTTGCCCTAGGTATTGTGTTGTACCCCTGTAATCCACTCAGTGGGCTGATAGGGCAGGAGGATTGCAAGATGGAGGCCAACCTGGGCAATGTAGCGAGACCCCAATCTCAAAAAAGGGATGGGGATGTAGCTCAATGGGTTCAAGGACTTGTACTGGGGAGAGGGCAAGACAACTTTTCCCTTAATTTTTACTTTATTTTTTTAGGTACTATGGATTGAACATAGTTCTTGTGCATGTCAAGCAATCTCTACCACTTCATATCTAGTCTAAGTTTCTCCCTTAAGGTTAAGCTAAAAGGGCCCCCTCGTTCACCATGCTATTCAGTGTTTGTACTGGAAATTGTAGGTGGAGCAATTAGACAAGGAAATGTCCAAGAAGGAAAAGTCTTTTTGCAAATGATATGCTCATACATAAAAAATTCACAAGAAATTTAAAGCTAATCAATGAATTCAGATTTATAGTCTAAAAACTTTGTATGCACCAGTATCAAACAGTCTGAAAAAGGAAATTAAGAATTTCACTTTGGATAGCAACCAAAAAAATAAAATGCACAGGAATTAAACCAAGGAGGTAAGTCATGAAAATTCATTGGGATGAGGGCAGAGAGTGGATAACAAACCTAAGAAGGTATCACATTAATGGATTAGAAGATGTTGTTAAGATAGTGTTACTCCCGAGTCAATACAGTATATTCCCTACAAAATTAACAGTGTCTTTAGGCAGAAATGGAGGTGCCGCTTTTCATATGAAGGGCCCTGAATAGCCTAAATGGCTTTGAAATAAATAAATCAAGTTCCAGATCTCAAAATTTACCACAGAACTATAGTAATAAAAACCACTGGCATTTAGACATGAACAGATTCGCAGAATTGAGAATCCAGAAATAAGTCTTGGCATATATGTCCAATTGATTTTTTTTTTCTTTTAAATAGTACCGGAATTGAACTCAGGGCTTTGTGTATGTTGGACTGCTGAATACATTCGCAGCCCTTTTTAAATTTGAGACCAGGTCTTTTTGAGTTATTTAAACCAAGTTATTTAGGCTGGCTTGGTATCTGTGGTCCTCCTGCCTCAGCCTCCTGAATTGAGTAGCATGTGTCTCCACATCTGGCTTGGCCAATTGATATTTGACAAAGAGTTCCCAAATCCACTGGGGACTTTTTGTTTTTTAAAGGTTCCCACTATTTTACTTAGGCTGATCTCAAAACTCTTGAGCACAAGGGATCCTCCTCCTTTAACCTCTTGAGTAGATGGGATTATAGCAGGGGAGAGGAGTCTGCAGCAAGTGGTTTTGGGACAATAGTAACCATAAGCAAGAGAATGAAGTTGGACATACTATCACTTGTTAAAATGGATCAATAATTATTAAATACAAGAGCTAACCCTCTACAACTATTAGAAAAAAATTGGGTAAATAATTTCCTTGGATTTGGCAGTGGTTTCTTAGATTCAACACCCAAAGCATCAGTAGAATAGGTCAGTAGGACTTCATCTGAGTTAACTTGTGGCAAAGGTGATGAATGTCAAAAGACCCTTGAGGGGGAGACTTTACAAGACTAATAAGGGTTTAATATCAGACTGTTTAAATGTAAAATTAAACAGGTAAAGCCATTAGAAAACTAGCAAAGGGATTGAACAGACATTCTTCAAAGAGTTATAACCAAGCAAGGTAGTACACACCTGTAATCCCATTGACTTGGGAAGCTGAAACAGTAAGGTTGCAAGTTTGAGGCCAGCCTCAAACAAATTGTTCAAGCAGCTCAGTTGAAAAGCCTCCCTGGGTTCAATTCCCAGTACCAAAAAATCAAATGTGAAAGATTGTTCAACGCTGTTGGTTGTTAAAAGAAGTGTAAAATCAAAATTGCAGTGAAATGCCACTTGACACCCACTAGGGTGATTTTTTTTTTAAGCGAGAGAATTTTAATATTTTTTTAGTTATCGGCAGACATAGGATCATTGTATGTGGTGTTGAGGATTGAACTTGGGTCGCACGCATGCCAGGTGAGTGCGCTACCGCTTGAGCCACATCCCCATCCCGGGTGATTTTAATGAGAAAAAAAATAATTTGGTGGTGACATGGAGAAATAGGAGCCCTCCTATAGTGTGGTGGGAACATGTAGTGATGCAGCAGCTATGGGAAGCAGTTTGGCCGATTCTGAAAGCTAAACAGAAGTAGCATATCTAAATGTATGTGGTATATGGTATACATTTGGTCTTCATCTCTGATTCCTATCAGGGCACCTAAAACTTTTGGGATTTCTGCTGTGATAGGAGGGTCTTGTTCTTCATCATGAACCTCTTTGTATGCCTAAGTACATGCTAATAAGGTGATTTAGGACCCTAGATAGTCTCCAGATGGAAGCACTCACTAGGAAAACCAAGTGATTATAGACATTTGGAACTTCTAGCCCCAAACACCCTCTGGAAGGCAGATCAAGCTCTGTAAAAACTCAATAGAGATTTGACAAGCTTTCAGGATGCTGAGCATGTAGAGGGTGCTGTGTGTTCTGTTGCTGTGACAAAATACCTGAGAAAATCAACTTAAAGGAAGAAAAGATTTATTTATCCTAGTACTGAGGATTGAACCCAGGGGCAGTTTATCACTGAACCATACCCCCAACCCTTTTTATTTTGAGACAAGGTCTTGTCAAGTTGCCAAGGCTGGCCTCTAATCTGAGATCATCCTATCTCAGCCTCCCAAGTCACTGGGATTACTGGCATGGGACACTGCACCTGGCGAGAAAATATTTTGACTAACGGTTCGAATTTTCAATCTGCTCACTTAGCACATTGTTTCTGGGTACCTGGGGAGGGAGAATATCATAGTGGGGAGTATATGGTAGAAAAAGCTGCTTACCTTGTGGTAGGCAGCTCAGGACACACCCTTCAAGGACATACCCACAGTGACCTACTCCCACCAGATAGGTCCCACCTCTCCAAGTTTCCACCACTTCCCAGTAGTACCACCAGCTAGGATCACGCTTTCAACATGTGAGTCTTCAGGGGACCTTTCAGATCCAAAGTAATAGGTCCCTGGAGATGGCAAGAGGCCCCCGGGTCCTTCCCCCATACCTTGCTCTGTGAACCTCATTTGGCTGTTCATCTGTGACAACTGACAACTAGTAAATGCAAAAAGTGTTTCTTTGAGTTCTGTGAGTTATCCTGGCAAATTGCCAAGGGGTGGGGGTGTTGAGAACTTTCATTTATAGATAAGTCTGTTAGAAGCACTAGGACTTTACTGGCATCTGAGGTGGCAGACAGTCTTGTGGAACTGGGCCCTTAATCTGTAGGATCTGACACTTTGGTAAAATAATGTCAGAATTGAATTGAGTAATAGGGTACCCAATGGGTGCCTGCTGAATTGCCTAGAGTGTAGGGAAAAAACCTCATATCTGGTCACAGAAGTTATGTATTGTTTGAGAGAGCAGGAAACAGAGTGTGGTGTTCTTCAGAATTGGTGTCAGAAATGCAACAGGGAAAAAGTCTGCTTTTCCTCTAAGCGTTGACTCCTGGCTTGAGCTTCCTTTGCTACCTTAAACTTTGGGTCAGATTCCTGCTCAGCACTGCACATAGACATAGTAATCATTTAAGGAGTGTCTAAAAACTGGTAATACTATGTAGAGACCCTAAATTTACTTCACCTCTGCAAGGCTGAAGACACCAAGATAAGAGTAACTAAGATATTTTCAAAAATTGCAGGAATAGCAATTCTTGCAGTAAGATCACCCTATGATAGAAACAGCCCTCTAAGTGGGAACAGTTACCCCATGATGGGAATTGATGCCGTGCACCAAGGGGGGGCGGTCATCTCATGATGGGACATGAACTGCCCCCTCACACAACACCCGTTTCCCTGGCGCCAGCAGAACCACCTTCGAGATAATGATCCACCAGATCAGTTTGGCCAAGACTGCCCATCTGCACATGCTGCTTGACCCATGCTTTTGTTTCTTCCCTGACTTCCTGAAGCTCTTGTGACTACCCAGAAGACGGCTTAGAAAATTGGTCACCCTGTTTCTTCCCAGTGTGGCCACACTGAATAATAAATTATTTTTTTAAAAAAAATTTTTGGTAGTTGTAGATGGACAGAATGCCTTTATTTTGTCTATTTTTATGTGGTGCTGAGGATTGAACCCAGTGCCTCACGCATGCTAGGCAAGCACTCTGCATGCTGAGCTATAGCCTCAGTCCTGAATAATAAATTCTTTTTTAAGAGAGAGAGAGAGAGAGAGAATTTTAGTTTTTCGGTGGACACAACATCTTTATTTTATTTTTATGTGGTGCTGAGGATCGAACTCAGTGCCCCGTGCACGCAGGTGAGCATACTACTGCTTGTGTCACATCCCCAGCCCATTAATAAATTCTTTAACCACCATTCATCTCTCTCTGATTGAACTCTACAGGCAGCAGATGGCCAGATATAGTCTGTGGGACCCCTAGAATCAC